ACACACACACACACACACACACACACACATATATATATATATATATATATATATATATATATATATATACATACGTATATACATACACATATATTTATATATATATACGTACACACACATATATAGTTATATATATACATACACACACCCACACACACACACAAACACACATACACATACAGACACAAAAACACACACACACACACACACACACGCACACATACACACATATATATATATATATTCATATAGATTATATACAATTTATGGGTTTCGGGCAATCCTGTGCCCAAGGGCACTTGGATGATCAAGCCCGCGTGTAGATTAACGGTTTCTTTTGCCTCTATAAAGTGCGGTATAAGGATTGTACTATAACACTGTGGTATGTATGTCTTTTGGTTCTATATGTGAACAGAAGTACGTATACGTACATCTGGCCAACCAAATATAGGTGTATGTGCATTTTTGTATATGCGAGAGCTTGTATATACAGAGAAAGGTAGGAAACCAAATTCCTGTTTGTGATGACGGAGAAGCATATGTGTATACATAGAAGTATATTACCCGGCCTGTACAAGTATTTACCTCCGAGCTACTTAGATCTTCAATTCGTGTATCGCTCGAGATCGCCCACGCCATCACACTAAATGTACGATCTCGCTAACGCATCAATGCGGAATTGAACGAACTGTTGGCAAACCTCGTTTCCTCGCTCAATCTATTCACCAGGTCAATTTCTGCACAGTCGAGCATCGGCTGAAGACGGCTTTTCTCGTATCCGTGCTCAACACCTTCTGCCACTACGATCCCATTGGCTATGGCATCCCCTTCAACTACCTCGTGGCTGGAGACTACTACGAAGAGCTGGCCTCTCCGTGCGTGCACGTGCTCATTGTTCTATTTTCGTATCAGACACGTGGTCTGCACGCCAGCCAGGGCCTTGCCCAGAAACAGGAGGGGGAGCAACGCTCGGCGCACCCGACCACACCACAACCCAATGGAGCGGTCGTGATCAATCTATTCGACCACTTCAACAAGGGTGAGTGCCTCTGTTCGATCTATTACTTTACCTAAGGGTGTGGGTGGTTCATTGTCTGGTTCGCAACGGATAGTGTACGGATATCTTGCAGCATGGGAGGTGTGTATGCGTACAGGTATGTGCGTCTAGGGAGCATATTAAATTGCGAACCACCAGAGATTCCCGGGACAAACGCGTGCGTTAACATACAGCAAAGCTGCAAACTGGCAGCATATCCCATTCCACCTCACGTGCCACATACCAACTCCTGCGACGTCTGTGCTTTCTCAAACCCCTCAGACCTGAAGGTTACGTACAGTTCGTAACCTATGCCACACGCTGCTACTTCCGAGCGGATCTCTTTACAACCACACACACCAGAACCACGATATATCGCTGTATGCATATCATTCCACTCTACGCTTTTGCACAACGCCAACATAGTTGCCTCTTCTCACTGCCCGTCTGCATATCTACCAACGACTCTCCCTCGACCCTCAGGCCTGAGCCTGGCGGATCGTACGGTGGTCTACCGTGCACTGCGACGCATGCTACTGATTCCCAGCACGCCCGGATACATCAACACACAGCAGAGTTTCAACCTGCGCAGAGAAGCGCTGCTACTGCTGTGGCGGTACCTGGGTGAGCACCCGAGCTTTCTCGAGCAGGTGGCGTCTTCACCGGATGTGACGGAGTTAGTGGAACCCATACTAATCATCGCACTCAATAACCGATCGGAACTCCGAAGTGTATGTGGAGAGGCTGGGCGGATGTGGGTGTTCACATCAGTCTCTGTAGTTTTGGTTGTAGACTGACATAGATGGAGATGCAGGGCATGCTTCCTTGTGTTATTTGAATGGTGTGCACTGGATCGCATCGGAGACACTGTTTGTGGGGCATTGTATCAATGTGTGACTGGGTTGGATGAGAGCCCACGTGTGCTTAAACGTGAGCGTACCTGAGCTTAGCTTTGTTTGTGCTTCTACTAGTTAGCTAGCACACACACGAATAGCGTTGATGTTACGACTACTTGTCAACTCAACTGTGTTATAAAAAGTGTTGCATGTACTCTCTGTCCTGCTCCTATGGAGCGCTACACATGCACTGTTGGGCCACAGCCTGTGTACACCATTCCGACTCACGCCTTGCAATCTGCATACTTCTAACAACCCCCATGGTATATACTATATATATATATATATATATATATATATTGGTTTCATCCCAAGTACTCCTAGTATTGTGCACACAGGAAACGACACGAACCACAAACAGCGGAACATACACCAAACACACAAACCACACGCACAGCTAACCCACTCTATAACGACCTCAGCATACGCCTCTAATGACAAGCCCTGCAACTCTCCATACAGTTGGGCATAGTGCACATTGCCGTGTTTGTGCTGCTGATACTGAGCAGTGACCGTAACTTCGGTGTGGCGCTGAACAAACCCTTCCACAGTGTTTACGGTATCGATGTCGCCTCCTTCACGGGCCACCATGGCGATGTGCTGTTGCTGGGTGAGTCTTCTTTTGGTGGACGTGTGATAGGCAACGTATATGCAATAGTGTGTGTCGTATGTGAAGCACTATCATGAGATGTATGAAGAGCGCACGTGCGTATTCCTAGTTGTAGGGATAAGCATACCTTTCGTCGTGAACGCTCGTGGTCTGCCCTTCTGTGGCAGTGTTCGAGTCACAGTCTATCGCGGATATCTCTGACTATCAGATCGACCGCTTGTCGTATAGGTATGGTTCTGTGAGGTGACCATAGTCCATAGTTCTCACATACATGTATAATCGAGCCGTATGCGCGTGATGGGGTAGTGGCTGTGTCATTTACTACGTAAATCGCCTTGTGTATAAATTTACATATGTATATTGTGCGAGGCTGTTTGCGATATACGTTTGCGCTGCTACGAAGCAAGTCTCCAGCTTTTTGGTAGTGCCGAAGTCGTGTGAGTGAATCGCTGTTGGTCAGTCGTGGCCCTACTTTGTGAAGTGTCGCGAGGTTTGTAGACGCAAGCGTATTTCTAGTTTGCGAACTGTTGACAGCCCGCTAAGTACACATATACATATGTACAGTTTATGTACGAACAAATCCAAGTATATTTGAAACCCTAAACCCACATACGAGACGACAGCATGCCAAGGCCTGGTCAGGGGGAGCCACTCCGTACCTCTAGCCTCAAGACCACAATGTAGTTACTCTCCGTTACTCGCGCTACTCAGGTATACACAAACTAATGACGCACGGGCACACCAAGTTAGTGGTCATCCACGATCATCTGCTGCGGATTTTCTCCAATGTCGCTCCATTCCTGAAATCCATCTCTAAGGTGACGGCTACAAAATACATCGCACTGTTCGAAATCCTTTCTTCGCCCAGGTATGTCAATACGAGACCTGTTGTGTGGGTAATGCTCTGGTTATTGAATTATCTTACCTTGTTGCTTAGCATTTTGTGTACGCTTATGCATGTGTATACATTATTAAATCTACGAACAATATGTATGTATGTACACATAGGTGGTAACACACATACGACTTTATGTACAGCTACACGTGGGCATATATTGCATGGTCGATAGTACCAACAGAGTTCACTTGACTGTAGTGGCGGTAGGAATTCAGTATGATTGTCCAGCACAATTGGCAACTTCTACAATCACTGCATTGGTATTCATATTAGTAAATGGTGACACTAACGAGTGTTGCCCATTATCTCCAAACGTAATTCGGAGTGTGTTGGCAAAACCGCTCATGTACTATGTATAAATGACACTACTTCGTCGCCCCCGCCTCTGTGTGTGTGTTGGGCTTCCGTGTGTGCACTTTGTTAACCTTTGGCGGCTCATTGTAATGGTGGACATGAGACTATTAACTATTACATGCGAATTCATCACACGCTGGGGCGTAGCGCTAACACTATTGCTCTGTTCACAATCCTTTTGACCTGTATATGCGTGCGTGTTTGTTTGTTCGTGTGCATTCATACAATGACTGCATACGTTAATATATATATATATATATATATATATTATAAATATATATTATTCTTAATTATTATTATATATTATTATATATTACTATATATTATTATATATATATATTTGTGTATGATTGTGTGCAACCGTGTTAACTGTGTCCGCAGGTACGTGTGTTCGAGCCCGCACCATCCGAACTTCCTGTACTATCTGCTGGAAGGTCTGAACAGTCTGATCCATTACCACTTTGACGGCAATGTGACGGTGGCCTACGCCATACTGCGCCGACGTGAACTGTTCGAGAAACTCGACAAACTACAAGAGCTGCCGCAAGGTAAACGCAGGATATATACCAATTGTATCGTGTAGGGTGTAAGAGTCTGGGTTTATGCGCACGATGGCGTATTCTAGTTGTTGTTGAGATATTAGAAATAGATGAGTGTTTGTATATACCTCACTAGACGATAGCTGGCATATTTTCGCGCTCGACGTTGAGAGGGTCTTCCGCAGAACAGTCGATCACTCCAAGGTATGATCCCAACAGTAGGAGGGTTGTTCACAGAAAGTGTATGATTAGAAGGGACGAGCCCCGAGTTATGCGTTCGAACACTAGCCTTCATGTATATCTCAAAATGGATTGCACCCAAAACTCTGTTTTAGGACTGACGAAACCCAAATCCTCCAACGATGCACCTGCAAAGGGTGTTAACAGCGAGCAAGCAAACTCTTCGGATGGTGGTACGGCTAATGGACAGGTGGTTAGTAAGAACGACTGGAAGCCGACCACCAAATGGGTATGTGTGTGACACACCATCACGAGTATGGCGTACGATAGTATATGGTAAGAGTACGATCTGGGTATATGGATACAGATTATAGTGGAGGGTTTTGGGGTTTAGTTATATCTAGGTATGTGTATGCCGATTATATATATATATATATATATATATTATATATATATATATATATATATATATATATATATATATATATATATATATATATATATATATATATATATATATATATATATATATATGTATATATATATATATATATATAGAGCACACAACAATGGGCATATCTTAGCTTATATGCAATAATTATTTGTTACGCGATCAGGTTTATTGACGACCAGTATTCTTTAATACATTGATCTTTGTTTTCAAATTCCTTTTCACTGATTAACTACCAAATTTTCTACTAACTGTCAATTATATTTTGCATCGAGATCAGATACAACTTTGGAAATCATCCCTGCCCTTAGCGACTATTTTAGCGCTGATCGGCAATCTGGGTCCGAAAGTGGACGATTTCTGTATAAAGTGTGTCATCTAGGCAGCTCTTGATATCGTATATGAATTGGTTGTGTGTGTGTCTATACACTTTGAGGTGAAATCGAAAATTCTCTCAATAACGATCTAAATGGGGCTGTTTCTGCACAATTTAAAACCCAGCAGAACAACCGTGTGGGTGTGGTGCGTTGGCATGTTATGACAGAATGACTGTTCAGTCTTTATTGTATGAATTTCTTGCACCAACCTTATCGGCGAGTTTGTAGGTACACATACGTACACAAAACGTAAATTAATCGATACATACGCATTCTTCCGATGTATTGTGACAATGATCAAGGAACGTTTTGCTCAGCTTTATACATATGCGTATTAACGTGACATGCTTCATTATCACGTTAGGAACGAGCCCAGCGAAGAAGAGATTGTGGAATATCTGCGCGCAGGGACGATTGTAGGACTGTTGCCACCCGCACGCGAAATACGGCTGCACAAGTACCAACCCCAGCGCTACGACGGTCCCTGGCTTGCAGGTATTTGGTGGTTGTTCGGTGGTGTGTGGCTGTCCGCTAATATTTATATCTAGTATATACCACGGTTTTACTTTAGGAGGTGGGAAGATGGGTGAGATTGGCTATAGCACGAGTGGTGCGTGATCAATCACTACTCCATGGCACTATATATTTTGAACATGCAAGTCCTGGACACATTGCTGAGCATAACCCTGGCTCAGAGATAAATCGGGTTCTAAGGCAATATATGTGTATAGGTTATGCTAACTTGACTCGCATACTGCTATGGTATGTGTATATTTGCATTCGTCAATAACGTGTTAACACCAGCAAAACACAAGAATGCAATTCGTGGATATATGTGCGAGGAGACTATCAACTTGCATAATCTTAACGTACCGCCGGCAGTTGGCGATTCAATGCAAGTGTGATATTGATCACATCTTAGCACAAGAATGAAGGGTATGTCCATGCATGTGAATGGCTGCATAGACCATACCAGCAGCACAATATCAACGGACTACTGATTCTGGTACACTCCCTTGACCAACCCAAATTCCACAGCTTACATTTGGGGGGTCATATACCTCTCTTGCCGCACACCGGAGTTCTGGATTGGGACCAATGTGCAGTTCTTTGAAGTCAAGTTTGTGGGCAAGGACGAGAAGAATATATAATTAAATGGACGTGGAGGAATTACCGGGACATGCTCGAGCAACACGGCAACGCACGTTCCTCATAGCTCCCACACATAATAAGTGACAGATTTTTGCATGTCTGCAGGCATGTGCATTTGCTTGTGTGTACGCATGCATGCGTGTGAGAAAGGGCTTGTTGACATCGGAAAAGTGCTCAAGAAACGTGTGGGCGAGCCCTGCGCTAGAACGGCTACTAGAGTCAGCGGGGGACATACTGTATATTCCCATTTGTAGCCAGTGGACAACCGTCTAGTTTGTATTTGGCTGCTGGGTCATAAGTGGGGTTTGCACTTTATACCGGCCTTCGAAGTTGTACGTTTATTCTCTATTTTTCACTAGTTTTTAGACTCCAGAAAAGTTTTAACCTGAGCGAGCGCCCGAGACCGGTGCGAGATGGTGTTCTTAACGTCTTTGTCCATCTCTGCGAATCTGTGCAAGCATTGAAAATATGTGGGTTGGCGAAGTATGAGCATCAACAAGCTCAAGATACCAGTTTATAGCACTCTGTTACGGATAGTATACGTAACGCACGATTCATCGGGGATGTGGCCTTGTAGCGAGGCAATGAGTGGCCCGATACTTGACATGCCCCTACTTTCCAGCAGGAAAGTGGCCAACAAGTGAGTGGACTAGTGACCATTCTTTCTGCGGCTAGTAGTATACAGTAGATGGATTGGATTTGCTTGCACATTGATCAGTCAATTTGTGCATCGGAGCACATTTGCCCGGTATCCAATACATCAAAAATATGTCTGAAGGGTACACACGCGCAAACATACGCGAACAAAGAGGACACATCAAAGGACACGGAACACGTGGGAGAAACAAATACAAATTGGCGTTAATTCGGTAGATTCAGGTTAGACATCTATCCAGCCGACAGAGAGCAAATGGGTCACAATCAGAGAATGCACAAATCGAGCGAATTACTTCAACGATGACTACGGATTAGCCGAAGAAAATAAAGTTTTGTTTTCAATAGCAGGCATACATTTGTATGGTAGAAAAAGAAAGGATGGATTAAGAAGCTTTAACTCACATAAGAAGCCAAACTCACATCCGAAGATAATAAAAGTACAGTTTTGCAGTGGGAGATTGAAGAATGACATTTGATTAAAGTTGAAAAAATCAGGGCATCGATAGACTGCACTCGAAAGTAATTAAACACTGTAGTTTGATAATAGTCGTCACATACGTGGTGTCGAAACCATCGGGAAGGAAAATTGGATCCCACCCAAAAGCATGCGGCCCACGCGCAGGAACAATTGATCCCTGTGCAGCAACAAGCCAGTGGAAAATCAATCGAGAGAGAACTTGGATACATGACACTCCACGTTCTATAGCAAAATTGCACAGACCTGATCCACGTTTATAAGTTCTAAACAACTTGAAAATTTGAAATTGGACAGACAATGGATTCGCGTGATCTAATGGGACAATCCATCGAGCGCGAACTTGGATATATGAGATTTCACGTTCTATGGAAAATTTCACAGACCGGATCTACAAATATAATCATTGACCTCTTAAATTGGAATTGAATCAATGATGTAGTAGGAACAGAAGCAAAGTACATAGAAGTGGGCTTAGTCAGAATACAAAAAAAAATACCTATGTTTGGCACACACGGGATTAATATTTGAATATACAGGTAAATACCCATACTAATAACACGCTATCAATCATACGGGCATTTCCAATACAGAGACCTTATAACACGTGTATGCAGCGCGAACTGACTAATCGTACGTAGTTCAGACACGCCATCGTTATGATTTACGTACACTTGTAGTCAGCAATGAGTTATACAGAGGACCGTATCACTAGCACGCGACTCGTATATATACTGGTAACCAGCATACGAGCACAGAACAAGCAAGCGCGAGAGTGGATGTGTGCATAGGTTGCCATGCAGGTGAAAAAGACAGACAAGTCCCTCAACTTACATGGCACTTGCCGCTGAAGACCACCGGCTCATGCCCAGGACCCTGAGAGTATGCGAACGTGCACAGAGCATACGCACTCTTGTCCTCGTACGCCATCAGCAGGTTGTTTAGACCTGTCGGGGTGGAGATATCCAGAAATAGAACAAAGCAGCAGCGAATCAATGAGCCGCATACGAGGCGATTCGCAAGTCTATGGACTCTTGTGGATCAGTTCGTGTCGAACACATAAACGCTTCTGAAATACACTCGCATTAATATTCAGTTCTGATCGGCTCCAACACATCGCAGAGTGTACAAAGCCTAGAGTGTACAAGGCCTATCTTGAGACTATTCGGTTGCCAGGCAAATGTCTGGGACTTGATAGCAACGAGCACACACACTCTCTCTAGGCAACGGCTTATATACTACGCGTGTGGGGTTAGCTTGTATACACACTCCTATAACTCGAACACGAACCAGGGTGTTGGACTACAACAGAGCACGGGAAGGTGTCTGAGCGAATACCATTTTGTGAGAGTTTGTGCGTGCGGATGAATGCTGAAGATATTACGTATATTTTCACCCAGCGAGACTTTCGGCGCAGTGTATGTAAATGAAGACTAGTAAAATACCCATACAGGTATGTAGGTACATCTTCGAAGCGCTATTCCTCTCTGCCTGATGAACTACAACCATACAAGACGTGTGCATATCGTAATTTATGCCAGAATTCCAGGTGCAACACAAGGCATAAAGTACCAGCAATGTCGTACTAACTGATCGTACCTGTATGGCCCGTCTTGTCCAGAAACCATTTGCTGTCAGCACGCAGTCATCATACAGCACAGGGAATCGTTAATTCGGACGAGCAAGGATGTTTCGCATACACACCATGTTGGGAGATAGTGACATGGGAACGGAAGAAGAGGCACATGAGTATACGATGGTGCAGAGTCATAGGAAGGCCGTATGTGGTGAACAATTTCACATATGTTCACGAAAGACTATTCTTTTACAAGTGTGTATGTGGGTTTGATATAGCAATACATGGTAAAACGGAGAGCAGTTTACTCAGCATATTTAATTGCTTGAGTTGGCAGTATCGGATAATTGACCGACGATATCGGCCGTTAAAAATATGACAGAATGCAGAGACTGTATATACTTACATATATGGACCAGGCAGACCGCCCAATGCGTTAAAACACAGAGACGTGTCCTCAACTAACACCGGTCCACCAACCTACGATGGCGATGAAATCAAAGAAGTGCAAGTATGGGAATTGTGAAGAACAAGAAATACTAGTCAAGAAGCAGAAGCTTTTGCGAAGCTTAAACCCATGACGCGATACAAAAAGTTCGGCAAAGATAAGGCGACTTTTACGCAAGTCGCTATACTGTAAGTATTATTACAATAGGCAACAATCCAGACGAATGAACGCAACTGTCCTATTTTAATTTATGTTTAGTCAGAAATTTATCAATTGACACAGGAACGCTATCTATATAACTATATC